AAATTTTCAGAAAATAACAATAAAATGTTTCCCGAGATAGAGTGTGGCGACAACATAAAATGCAAAGCACACGGAAAACTGTCCTAAACACACCCTTATACTTCGCTCGAACCGACGTTCACTAAAAAGTGGGTCCCACACTCATATAGAAAAGTTTCATGATTAGCTCACAGTTGAGTTGTGGCATGCAAAGACGATGGATGTGAGATGACAACTCCAAGTTGAATAATCCCACACCCACACAAAGGTTAAAAAAGCCAAGATATGGGGATTTGCTCTTCGCTTGCTTTTCTTGACCGAAAAGAGTAGCATGAGCATGTTTTGGATACCAATCTTTTAATTTGTTGTCACATGACTTTTTTTTTTTTTTTAATTTATTACATATATAAAGTTATAATAGATTTTACTAAAAAAAAAAGCAAAAAAAATTGAAGGATATTAATTTCATAATTAAGGGTTGAAAAAGTAATTATGCAAGATGACTCGATGTTAATTATCCTTTAATATTAATTAAAAGCAAGCCATAATTTAAGAATAAGGTTGTGCAAATCAAAAGCAATGTTCATATACTATTAGCATGATAGAATAAGCGAAAAGATGAACCCGAGACACCCGATATTCGAACAAAGATCGATCGTGTACCCCTAGCTAAATGCGAAGGGCCGAATTGAATGTCTGCGTCTGAATACAAAGGGTGGAATGCGAAAGGTCGAATATAAAGGGCCAATGAGAATTGAAGATTTATTTTGAAGAAAGGGAGCTTTGAGAAGAGTTTGATTATGATGTGAAAAAATAAATATTCATGTAACCCTAGAAATTTAGGCATAATAAAGGTTTATATTTATCTTTTTTATAGAAGATCGCTCCTATAAACGAGGGGTTTTAAATATAAGAAGGTTATGATCTTTAGGATTAAAAAAAAAACACTGATCATTGCGACCGGTACATTCCCACATATAGTAATCCAGCTCTCTCTCTCTCTCTCTCTCTATTTAAAGCATTGGTGAAAGACCATAATACGAGCCCCTGGTCAACCTCATGTGACTAACCACTCGACTTATCCACACATAAGCGGGCTTTAACCCCTAAACCCAGGGGACTTAGAACTGACTTTGCAGATACCAACCGAACAGGCAGGGAACGCGACACTACATATATATAATTATTTTTACATTGGAAACATCATCAACAAATCCATCATCCAAAACAAATCTTACGGCATGACACGGATGTCAAACAATCTTGGAGTAAAAAACATTCAAACTTTAATCAAAAGCCATCCAGAGCTCAGATTTCAAAAAAAAATTGAGTCAAAATGACAAGCTCTACAAGGCGAACTCAATGATACCAAAATCAATCCAATCCGAGCTAGCTTAAGTTCATACCAAGCCATTATGCCACTTTTAGAAGCTTTTTGAGCATATTTGGAAGGCCAAATGAATGTTGAATCTGACAAGTTTTTAATCGAATTGAGTGTCTCAACAGAAAGAATCCAACGAGCCCAATATCGCTTAATTCCGACGTTTTTAAAGCACTCAAATGTCCATCAAACGTCATCTGATCAAATGAAGCTTTTCAGACTGTCTGATCAAAGTAGTTTATATTCTTGCTTTAATTTTACTCGGAGTTCTACAAATAGAGCCCTATCCCTCTCACGAGGAGGAGGAGAGCTTGAAATTTGAGGAAGAACTTGAAGCTTCTAGAAGGAGTTGAAATCCAGCACCACCACCGCCGACTGTCATCGGCCACCACTGACCTTTGTTGACCATCGCCGACTGTCGTCAACTTTCGGATCGTCATCAACCACCACTGATCTCCGCCGACCACTACCGGCCATTGTTGATCATCACCAATCACCATCCACCACCGTCAACCACGTCAATCACCATCAATCTCTATCAACCATCGTCAATCTTCGTCCACCACCGTCAAACGTCATCAATTACTGCCCACCACTGTCGACCACCATCGATCAAACTCCGCCCATAGCTATCGATCGTCGTCCGTTCCCAATAACAAATTCATCAGCACTTCGATGTTGTAACTTGGGAAGCCTAGTAACCACTTCCCATCAGTGGGACAAGTGATTGCGACAGTAATCATTTTTCTATAGTGAAACTATTCACCTGTGTCAGACCCCATGGA